GCCTGCTTTAGTAACATGCTACTCGTATCAGACGATAACCCATCCCCCTCTGTCAGTAACATGCCTAAGTTGACCAGCCAACTCATGTTTCTAAACCCCTGTGTGTGTACATGTCTGTCTTACAAACTAGAAACCAAAGCCGTGGGGCTCAGGTGTGCTAGTAACCTGCTAACTGATCAGTTTCTACTCCCTTCAGAAGGGTGAGCATACAGCATTGACAGCCCCAAATAGCCAACTTTTCAAGTCTTACCACCCCCTTCCCTTCTCAAAAGGAGACCCTTACTTCCAACTAAGACTATTCACCTTCATCTCCCAGTGAGACCTTTTAGAAAAACACACATCTGCATACCCATATATATAATTTTTTTGTTTTTACATTTAAATATAAAAATACTACTCTGCTTTGTGGAGGACCAAGCAATAAGAGCTTTTTCTTCTCTTAAGGTAGGGATATATCCATCAGTTTATTCTGAGTTAAATCTTCAGGCCAGGACCATTTAGCCCCTGGCAAGGAAGTCGAACAGAGAGACACCCAGAGCAATTTCCTTCCTGGTCCCTCCTAATCCCCACGTTTATTGTAAAGTTGGTTATACTGTTTATAATAAATGGAATTTCCCATCCAAAGAAGGAACTCTTGACCTAACGGCAGAACAAGCCAGACCCTCCCCTGCCAGCTCCCTTATAGAAAAAGTCCTACCCTCCTCCCTTCCCAAAAACATATGCGCTCTTTCTGGAAAACTATGACTACTGGACAAACACACCGGATTAAATGGAAGCAGTAGTTATGTTTCCTCACCCCCTCCCCACTAACACACTATTCCTCAGTCTTCGAGAAAGCTTCAGTGATAGGGAGAAAAGGGGGGCAGGTGTCTGTGTGAAGTGATTAAGAACCTGACCTCTCTACCATGGCCCAAAAAAAGCAAGAGTTATTAATTGGGCATGAGGAATAAAAAAGACCTTTATATTCGCGCTTTGAGTTACAGCTAGTAGGAACACGTGGGAGAAGGAAACAGTGGGCATGGGATGAAGAGCTGGGAGGGGTTTCATGGCTGGAGGTCTCGTCCACTTAGTTTTTATACTGGAAAGGCTCATCACCAGTCTCTTTGAGAAGACAGGTGCAGATAAGAGCTCCTGTCACTGAGTAGGGGGTCACAGTTGGCAGAGGGGCGGTGGTCTTCAAAGTAGCCCTTCTTCTCCTGGCCAAGAGTCCGAGGAATGCAGATGCTGGTGCCACGGTTGGCCATACCGGCAGAAAAGTCATTGATGTTGGAGGTTTCATAGAATCCAGTTAGGTGCCAGGCATTGTCCAGGCCCCCTTTGGGATCGTAGGCACGGATATGGTACTGGTGCCACTTTCTTAGTCTCTCAATGGACTCCTCAATATACTTCAGACCATTGTCTTCTCGCATGGCCTTGGTGCTGAAGTTGGTGTGACAACCTGCACCATTCCAGTTCCCAGGGATGGGCTTAGGATCAAAGGTTGCTATCACTCCAAAGTCTTCACATACATGGTGCAGGATGAAACGGGCCACCCAGAGATGATCTCTCACATTGATTCCTTCACAGGGTCCTATCTGGAACTCCCACTGGGCAGGCATGACCTCAACATTCGTTCCCCAAATCTTGATGCCGGTGTACAAGCAGGCCCAATAATGAGCCTCTACAATGTCCCTGCCATAGGCTTTGTCTGCTTCCACACCACAGTAATATGGACCTTGAGGTCCAGAGAAACCACTGGAAGGCCAACCAAATGGGTGCCCATCTGTCCCCATAAGGGTATATTCCTGCTCCATTCCAAACCAGGGGTGCTGGCTGTTCACCATGTCCATTATCTGCTTACAGGTATGCCTTAAGTTGGTCTCTGCAGGTTTTCGGTTGTACTTAAAAGACTTCACACAACACCAGCTTGTTTGGGTCCTTGGGGAAAGGATCCCTAAACATGGCAGCAGGGATGAGATACATGTCACTGTTAGACCCTTCAGACTGGAAAGTACTGGAGCCATCAAAATTCCACTCTGGCAACTCTTCTATAGACTTGGGTTCACCATCCAGGGTGCGCGTCTTACAATGTAGTCCTTCTCCAGTGCCATCAATCCAGACATACATGGCTTGGACTTTTTCGCCCTGAGGCAGACCCATGTACATCTGCTTGATGCCTTTGTTCAAGTGGGAACTTGCTGAGGTGGCCATGGTGGAAGATGTTCTGGGCGGCGAGCAGGCTGGAGGGCAGGCAGACCTCGAGAGTGAGGTGAGGAGTGGAGACATGGTCAGGTGTACAGATTAGACGCTTGGTTTCACTTCACTTCATTCTCGGCTCTATATGTCTAACTTTTTAAGGTATCCCAAACAGCTTTCCAAAGTGGCTGCACCCTTTACAATTCTACCAGTTGTGACAAATAAGACAGTTTAGAGGTAAAGAACATTAGAAGTACATGAAGAAAGTAGTTGTTAAGAGCCACCATTATCCAAACCAAAGCTGTTGCCCTCGAGTCCAGTTGAAGTCATTGTGACCCTGTTGGACAGAGTAGAACTGCCCCTAGGATTTCCTAAATGGTAAATGTTTATGGGAGGGAACTTCCACATCTTTTTCTTTTGGGGTGACTGGTGGGTTCGAGCCACTGACCTTTTGGTTGCCAGTCAAGTGCTTAACCCTCTGCACCACCAGGGTTTCTTGCCATCATGGTGGTTGTTGTTAAGTGCCATCGAGTCAGTTCCGAGTCATAGCGACCCTATGTAGAGTTTCCCAGGAGCAGCTGGTGAGCTTGTACCACTACCTCACGGTTCAAACTGACCTCGCTGTCCAGCATATTAACCCACCGTGCCACACTAGGACTCCTGCCATCATGGTTCTAAGTTTATAATGACAGTTGTATTTTAAGTATAGTTCTGAAAGTTTCTGGTAGGTCAAGAAAGAAACAATTAGGCTCATAGAATTTTATTATCATAGAAGAAAATTTACAGATTTCTTGAGCAATAAACTCTCTAGTAACCTAACCCAAAGTTGAATTTGTTTAACGTATTTTCATTGGCTAGTTATGTAACAGGCACTCCTTGTAAATGAGTGTCCTTTAACACAGTGAATGTCTGCATGTATAGTCATGGTGATGTGGCTTGCCGATTAGAAGACTGGATCACTACTTCAAGGTAAAAAAGAAAACTTACCTAATTTAGCATACCTGTTTGTGAAAACTTTCAAAGTAAAATTCTGATCACATATTACTTTGTGTTATCACTTCAAAATCTTGTGTGTATGTATTGATTCTCCTGCAGGATGAAAGCCATGCAGCTACCACGCCTTCCACATCTGTGAATGGCCCATGTATTCTTGGAGAACTTTGCCTGTGATTTCATTGTCCAGGTTTCACATGTCTAGCACAGTGTTTTGTGTGTTATAGGGACATAACAAATATTTGTCACAATTTAATGTATACTTATTGTTAGCTAAAGAGGCCCTGTGGCACAGTGGTTAAAGCATTTGGCTGCTAACTAAAAGGTAAATGGTTCAAATCCACTAGCAGATCCTTGGGAGAAACAAGTGGTTTTCTGCTTCGAGTTTGGCTGTTAATCTGAAGTTCAGCAGTTAGAATCTACCAGTTGCTTCTGTAAAGATTTGCAACCTAGGAAACCCTATACTCTTAAGGTCTCTATGAGTCTGAACCAACTTGATGGCATACCGTCACCACCACCACACTATTTTTACAGGGTCTCCATGATTTGGAATCAACTCAATGGCAGGGGGTTTGGGATATTGTTGGCTAGTAAATGCCTTCTTCTATAATTAATGGCTTTTCTTATAATGGGAGATTATACACTTCCAAAGAAGCCTTAGAAAATACATTTCCCCCTTCTTCTGTTCCCAATTGTCCTATGACAGAGATCTATACTACTTAAAGACTCAGCAGACATCATGAATCAAGTGACAAACTGATTTCAAGCCCACAGAAGCAGATTGCACGTTTTATACTCCAAACCAGGACATGTAGTCTGATAAAGAATTTTGGAGCTTTTTCTTGGTCTAAGAAATGTGGTTTAAATAAAAATATATTATAATTTACAATATAATTTCCAGATGAATGGAAACAATAGGATAATTTGTTTGTAATCAGTACTCTTTCAGAAATCCCAAATACCATGAACCTCTTCTTCTGCCTAAAAATGTTTGGAGTAAATATTTTTCAGGTAGTTCAATGTATTTTAGTTTGTTGTTGTCATGTGCCATCGAGTCATTTCTGACTCATAGCAATCCTGTATAGGGTTTCCAAGATGTGGCTGGTGATTTTGAACTGCCAATCTTGTGGTCCAAACCAACCTTGCAGTTAAGTGCTCTATCCCACGCTGCCATGTGAATTTCAGGTCAGTCGGTAGGTAGGTGATTCTTCATCTAAATATATTAAACATAGTAATTTTTTAACTATACTTCCAACACTCTGCACTTTTCCAAGGATATGTTTTGTAGTTGATGTTGTGACTTTGCTTACTCATAAAGTGGTGGTGGTGGTTCTGTGCCTCTGAGTCAGTTCTAACTCATAGCGACCCTATATAGGCTTTCCAAGGCTGTAAATCTTTGTTGTTGTTGTTGTTGTTGTTGTTAGGTGCCATCAAGTTGGTACCAACTCATAGCAACCTTATGCACAGCAGAACGAATCAATGCCCAATACTGGGTCAACCTCACTACTGTTGCCACGCTTGAGTCCATCGATGCTGCCACTTGGCTAATCCATCTCATTGGGAGTCTTCCTCTTTTTCTCTGACCCTCCACTTTACCAAACATGATATCCTTCCCCAGTGACTGGTCCCTCCTGACAATATGTCTGAAGAATGAGAGACAAAGTTTGGCCATTTTGGCCTCCAAGGAGCACTCTGGCTGCATGCACTTCTTCCAAAATGGATCTATTGGTTCTTTTGTGAGCCCATGGCACTTTCAATATTCTCCTCCAACACCATAACTCAAAAGCATCAATTCTTCTGCAGTCCTCCTTATTCACTGTCCAGCTTTCACATGCATATGAGGTTATTGAAAATACCATGGCTTGGGTCAGGCGCACCTTAGTCCTCAAGATGACATCTTTGCTCTTCAACACTTAAAAAAGGTCTTGTGCAAAAGATTTGCCTAATGCAATAAGTCATTTGATTTCTTGACTGCTGCTTCCATGAGTGTTGATAGTTGATCCCAGAAGAATGAAGTCTTTGACAACTTCAGTCTTTTCTCCATTGTTAAGAATGTTGTTTATTGGTCCAGTGGTGAGGATTTTCACTTTCAGCAATCTTTACAGGAGCAGAAAGCCTCATCTTTTTCCCATGGAGCAACTAGTAGATTTGAACTGCAGAACTTGGGGTTAGCAGCCCAACCATAATCCAGGACACTATCAGGGCTCCTTGCTTATTTATATATGTTATACAAATTTGTTTTAGATTCAATTGCCATGATATGATACTCAAGGAAGTTTCCACTGTCATTTGCCTGGGTATGGCATTAAGTTTTCTCATTCACTGAATTAGCTCTTTTTGCCTTCTCAGTTAGTCAGTAAACATTTCTTGTTTCAAGGTTGTGCCAAATGGGGACAAATATGGCTATATGTTCCATATTCTGAGGTCTCACTTTTCAAATTTGCATCTTATTGTTTTATGG